GCAACAGTGCAGAGGTACTCAACCCCGTTGAGTACATTTTTTTTGTATAAGTTAAGCTGCCCCTTTACTAAAATTTTCAAATTCATAATCGAAACACTGGTATTCATATCTAGTCTTTTTGAGTCCCCAAAATGATGTTTAATTTTTATATAAGAAGATTTCTACTTCAAACAATAGATTGTAAGCTCCTGAAGGCTAATTTCTGTTGCATTAAAGGAATAATTGTGTGTGTGTATGTGTGTGTGTGTGTGTGTGTGTGTGATATTGATCAACAGGCACTGGGGCACTGGGATAGTTTTCACTTTTGTCTATGTAACTGTTATGAATAAAGTTACACAGAATCTACTCTGGAACCTGCTTTCAGTTCTGTCAGCAGCATTCTGAGGCAGAATTTCTGGGCAAAATAACCCAGTGTTTAGTGTTTTCAGGAACAGGCAAAGTGCTTTATCCTCCCATCAGTGAGGCACAGGGGCTCTGTTTTCTTCCCACTTTCATGGGGACCTTGGTATTTTCTTGTTTTGGATTTAAAACTCAGTATCTGAATAATTTCTTTTGTCTCCCATGGTGACCAATGCTTTCTCATAATATGGGCACTCAGTAAACACTGTGAATGAATCACACTGATGATCCTGAGTGCCTCATGAAGGAGAATCTACTGGGATTCAGGCAAGACTTAATTTTAGAAAACAAGTTAAAAACCATTTTATTATAACAGAAGGACATATATTGGAGTAGATAAAACTACCCAAAGATGGCCACTAAAACAAATAAGAGTTACCACAAGCAAAAATGTCTAGTAATTTTAAAGAATTGCTTTAACTTTAACCAAAGTAAGTCCTTTTTCTGAAACAAAAGTAGCTTCAAGTTGTTACATAAAAAGCCCTGAAGCAGGAGGAACAGAGAATTTAAATCTTGCTGTTTTGGTTAGCTATAAGGAATGTCTGTGGATGACCATGAAGCTTTGTATGTGTGAGAGCAGGTGAGCATTCAGCATGTGCACACATGGACACATGTTACAAATACCATGCAGAAGGAAGCCACACAGAAGTGACGGCTTCACAGCTTCATGAGGGACTCAGGTTATCCCTTTGCTGATCGTTCTCTCCATCTACAAAAGACAGGGGAGTTTATCAACCTTACATATTCTGGCATGAAAAGAAGAATAGCATTATTTTTAGAGAGGAGACTGGAGAAGGGAGCACTTTAATCTCTGAAGCAGCTAACAGGAACAGAAATATTTAAAGCCAAAGGAAAACTAAGGAGAATACAACTTTGTTCCCAGGCACTGGAGGATGGAACAGGGTGACTACACTAATCTAGGTACCCAGGATTATCCTTTTCTTGCCCACATAAGAATGTGAAATATTTTCTTCAATGGCTAAATTAAACTACGGCCAGACTAACAAAAGCCAGGATAAATTAAGAAAATGCAGAACACTTCAAATATTATTAACCTATTAAGAGTTCAATGGTTTTAGTCACTATTGAACGTCTCCTTCCTAACACACTGGCTCTCTTGATCACTAAAGTTCTTCAACACACCTTTCAACTTTCTCATCATGTGGGCTGCTAAGATGACACATTTCTGGTTTGGGACTGTCTGTGTACTCTCACACTGGTGGTGTATTAACTCTAAATAATGTGTGCATCTCTCCTGCCACCATGGCTGGGGCACACTGGGACTCTTCTGCCCTCATGCATCTCTGTACAGTGTAGTCTTGCTCAAATGCCAATGGCGTCTGACCCAGTTCTATTTTCATCTGCTCCTTAAACTACATAAAAACAAGTATTAGGGGTTCTCATCTTTCCTTCCTCTTTCTCTCTCACAAACTGTAAATTTATAAACATATCAATACAGATAGAAAACACAAGTAAAACTTTAAAATAAGGATATCCACCCAGAGAAAATGAAAGCAGGCCTTACTTTTCGGTGTGTTCCTAACTAGGACTCTGTAAACTGCAGAAAAATACCAAATACATGGAACTACTAACTACATTACACCTGCTGGAAATAGTGAGGGCAGGTCCTTGCGTTCTGTAATCAAGTGTGCACATGGATAAAAGGCTCTAGCTTCTCATTCTAGTTCTCCCCAGCCAATGGCAGTGATAGATACCAGATTGTACAGCTTCCCCATGCCATGGGGAAAGCCAGGTTTTTACTTTGTGGAGAATGCATCATCAGTATAAAATTTCACTGAATGAAGGCAGTCAACAAACACTGGACGAACTGGTTCAATATTGAGGTTCTATCATACAACACTGAAAAACAGAGAAGAAGGGAGGACAAAAATGTGTCCTATACTTTTATCTTTGAAATACTTTAATACTATTACATCAGAATCGAGTCATATAGTTTTGTAGGGAATATGGTCGCTTATTCTACAGCTCAAAGTTATGTAACTGCACACACAAGAAGACAAAGCTATAAAGTAACCAAACATATTTACAATTTTGCCCAGATAACTCTGTGAGCATCTCAGACTCTAAAATACTGATAGGCAAAGGAAACATTTTTGAAAACACAGGACAAATATAATTTCTGGGACAGAGAGAGAGAAAAAAAGAGATGCTTTCTATTTTATAGATTTTTTCTCTTGGGTATAATTATGAAGTGACATTCAAGTGCAACCAGTGAAATGTCTATTTTTTTCTCACAAAATCTAAAGATATCAGCAAAACCACCTCTGTCAGTAATAAAAATAAAAAGTCTTTGACTTTTTAAATGTTATCATACTGTCACAGCAGAATAAAATTAGCTTGAAGAACGATCTAAAGGCATATGATGCTGTTCATTATGTATGGCGGCCACAGCAGTGCTTCTCAGTGTTCATAAAGGCTGCTCCATTAAATTTACCTCCAGTCAATAATTAGGAGTCCACAAATAAACCTGGGCAATTAAATCAATACTTCCAGGCAATTATATTCCAGAGTCCAGGCTCAGTGGCACAAAAAGGCACTATATCAACCTGCAGTATTAAGCAGTCTGATGCCATTTCAACAGGGAATTTTTAATACTAACTGGCCAGAATAAGCATATATCCAAATAATGCAGAATATGTACATGTACTTCCACATATGTAAGACACTTGCTTATACACATATACAAGTGTATGCATGTGTCCACATGCACACACACGTACACATGGACAAGAACAGTACATTTAGCAAGATTTAAACATATTGATTTATTATTTTATGGATATAATTGATGATAAAATTTCTAATTAGAGGAACTACAAGGTCCTAGTTATAAGGCCAACACCTAGAAAATCATTACAAGTTTATTTCTGCCATTTTAAAGGTGAAAAACACTTCATCCCAACTATCACTGAACTCCTTCATGTGCAGGCACTGGGCTGAGCCTGAGCAAGCAAGGGGATTAAGAAATGAGCTTGGTAGGTGGCCCAGCAGTTAAGAGCATGTGTTGCTCTTGCAGAGGGTCTGAATTTGGTTCTCAGCACCCATACTGGCAGCTTACAACTGCCTGTAAGTCCAGCTCCAGAGGGAGCTGCTACTCTGGCCTCTGAAGGCACCTGCACTCATGTGCACCTCCTGCCACCCCTGCCCATACACATGATTAAAAGTAAAGGTGAATCAAGAAAAAGAAGTGACCTCCCTTTCTCAAATCAAGTTGTCACTGTAAAGGGGCTTCTTTCATATCTCTGTATCTGTATTTGAACCACTTTAACAAAAATTTCACCTATAACATACGATTAATGAAGTCATTTCAGATAAGGTTTGAAAACTATATAATGCTAACACTAAGAATAGGAGCAGCTAATGCATCATTTACATATTGTTCTTCATTTCTTGTCTTGGTGCTGGGGGTTGAACACAAGTCTCTGTACATGGATAATCAAAGCACTGAGCCACCAAACAGCATCTCCAGGCCTTCCACTGCTCTGTTCTTGACTTCATTACAAACATAGGAGATGCTACCTGGTGATATAGATATGAACTAACAATACTTACTATCAACTAGTTTCTAATTGTTGCAGAAATATTCACAGGGTCTTTTAAAAGCCACTGACGGGTGGTTATTTTGTTTTGTTTTGTTTTGCTTTTTGTTTTTCTTTTGCCAGTTTGATAATTATATTTTAGCTTTTATTTATTTCAGGTTGGATTTCAAATAAACAATTAGAGTATGCAAAAAAGAGAGACTATAATGAAAAAGTTTTAGAATGCATTACACGCTGTCAGTGATGTCAAAACAAAAGCTGCCTCTGACTAGAAAAGCAGGCTCTCACCTGCCAATAAACTGCCCTTGATCACTTACAAGAGGGGCGCATCCCAGCAGACCATGTGTGTATTAAAAAAATACTTGAAAGGGGAGGAAGAGTATATCACACTGGTCACAGTAGCAGCCTCAATAGAGCCCTCAGGGACGCCAGCTCGGCTTGGCCTTGTCATCCTCTATGCAGCCTTCCACTCAGCCCAGAAAACGTCGATAGGAAAATGTTTGAGGGGCCTCTGGTGGAAATTTTTTCATTCTTTCTGCATTGACAGGATGCCAAATCAATATTTACTTCCCACTAACAAGCTGCTCGAGGTCTCAGTAGAAAATATTGTAGAGAATGCGGGAAGACACAGTAATAAACAGCTGTCCGGCTGTGAGGAAAACACGAATTGACTGGAAACAGGTCCACAGTAAAAGGTCACCGAAACCCATGAACTCCTCAGGTGTCCGTATCAACTTCCAACTTTAAAGACACTAATAAAGAATCTCTTTTCCTAAGAGGTTGGAAGAATGGATCCTTTTCACTCTAGCAAGCAGAGCAGTTGACTCAATAATTTAATTAATACACTTGCTGAGGCCCGTGTTGGCTCTTTCTCAAGGTATTTGCTTCATTTGTTAAGTCCAAAGGTACAAATAGGGGGTTAACTTACTGTTGACCCAGGGGACGCTACTTCACCTAATAGATAAATAAGGGGGTCTGCAAATGCAAGGCCGACAATATTTATTTGGAAATTTTAATATACAAAGCACAAACATGAAATACCTGTCCTTCAAGGAGTTTCTGAATGTACAACATCCACTCCTTGTCATTTTCAGCATCTATCTTTGTCTTCTCAATTTCCTAAGGAAAGAAAAACAGGTACATTAACTGACATGAACTTATTCAATTCTGCTGGGATCTAGCAGCTAGATCCTGCATACATCTATATGATATCAACTAAGAGTGACCCGTCTCTTCTAAGGTGGGATATTTAAACCCACACTATGTAATATTTAAGTTGTAAATAGTCACATACACATGGAAGCTACTTTGTATTTATATATTTCATAATACATTAAGGATTATTTTCAGCTTCCACATCAGATAGGGATGAGTGGGAGTAAAAAAGATGTTACAGTAAAAAGATGAGGCAGGGCTGGAGAGATGGCTCAGTGGTTGTTAAGAGTGTTTGCTGCTCTTGCAGAGGACCTGAGTTTAGTTCCCAGCACCCATGTCAGGTGACTCACGACAGCCTATAAGTCCAGCTCTAAGAAATCCAACTCTACCTTCTGGCCTATGGAAGGTCGGCCTCTCTCTCTCTCTCTCTCTCTCTCTCTCTCTCTCTCTCTCTCTCTCTCTCTCTCTCTC